TGCAGCCTGGGAAGAGGAGAAGAAAAGGAGCTGGAATCGAACCCGGTACCTCTGCACTGTGAGGTCAATACGCTAACCACTCGACCACTGGGCCGCCAACAAAAACAATCCAAATCGTAAAATCAATTTTGATTTAAAAGATGAGCGTGCATCGCATCGAGTCAACCCGAATCGGATTAAAACATATCAAGGTACGAATCGAATCTTCTTTCGGTGAGACAAATGTCTTTGAAGGAAAGTCTCATGACCTTGAGTACATCCGCATCGCTGGTACCGGCCTTGATGATGCCGAGACGCTTGAGCTGTCTTGCCAACAGGGCCAGCATGGTACTGTAAATGTGGTCGAGACTGACACCCGGCGAGCACAGAGATAAACAGGAGAGCTGCACCTCCAGGACGGCTTCATAAAGTTCCGCCTGTGGAGCGCTAAATCTGGCAGGAACGGGGGGGTACACACGGCGGAATGAGATGCCATTAACAGGAAAATGTTTATTTGGATTTTGAACTCGAGATTATCAACTTACTTCCCATTTACCGGCCACGTCCGGGTTACGTCGCTGGCATAACCAAAATATTCACAGCCGCCGTCGAGAAGCACCATTTCACCGTCCTGAGGGAGAGCAATAAAGGTTGACGCATATAAAGCAGCCATCTCCAACTTTTTTTTTATGCTCCACGGAATAGCTTGATGCAAGAAATTTTACATGCCTTCATACAGAAACCTAATAAAGTGCCGAATAAATACGAGTCACTCTAACACAGGGGTCCCCAACCTTTTTTGCCCCACGGACCGGTTTATGTCAGACAATATTTTCAGGGACCGGCATTTAAGGTGTGGCGGAAATAATACAACAAAATAATATGGTATGAGCTGCATGAAAACTGTGGTGTTTTCGAAATATAATAATAAACACAAGGAGCGTCTAATCTGGCCGCAACGCTATGGCAATGTTTAATGCCTTCAAAATACGACACAACGCAAATTCAAAGTGCATGAAAATGACGACTCACCACAGCACCGAGCTTGATTTTCTGCAACCAGACGGTCCCATCTCGGGGTAATAGGAGAGACAATGACACCGCAAGTGTGTGGTTTATGTCCAGTCTACTTCGTAATTTTGTTTTCGTCGCCGTTGCTGCATAATCCCCCTCCGCCTCACACAGGTAGGATGTCGGAAATAGCAAAAGTGCTATTGTGGCGATCTCAGAGTATTCAGACATAACTTTAATCCAGTTGTCTCGAACGTCCTTTTAAGGCCGCCGTCATTTGCGATCTCCAGCAGTTTTTTTACTCATTTTGCGAGCTCCGGTGTTTGTTTTTAGCCTAATTGGCCGCGTTACGGAGAAGCGTGGCTTGACGTGTGTCCCCTTTTTAAAGAAACTTTCCAGAGGTGTCGTTTTTTTCCCCCTTATTATTTTAGCTGGCATTATTAGCTTGTGGGCCTAATTTTTAATGCATTGGGACCGTCACAGAGACGAGTGTGGGAAAGAAACAGACAGAAGGTGGTGGTCAAGACGATTTTGGTATCAACCTGATTAATTGGCTCAGCATATTCACATTTTTACCTTAATGATTTGGTTGTTGTTGATGTAGTGCAGAGTATTGGCACGATTCCCTCCAGCCACCACGGGCGGATAGGCCAGGAAATTAGCACCCTGGATCCGGCTCTCAAAATCAAACTGCAAATTAGATGATGAACGTTACATATTTTGATAATGTTTGGGAAAGGCGTTCGGCTAAACAATGCAATACATCTTTATTTATATAAAGCGCAGAGAATGAGGGAACTGGTGTTTTTCTACTGACAGTGTAGTTCTGGTTAAATCGAACAGACATAAATTTGTCGTGCCACATTCACCAGCGCCAACTGCTTAGCCTCTTGCTTTGGGGTATGGGCCAGGAGAACTGCCCAAGTATGTTGCATTACAACCATTTCTTATACTGATGCCTTAGGTGAGGCATGCTAAAATTAAATTGATATGATTTCTTTCACACTGTGAGGGAAGCTGTGCACTCTCCCCATCAAGTTGTGAACAGCAACGTTACAACTGGGGCTTAAATGCCCTGACCAACGGCGAAAACAGTTCAAGGAACGCGCTTTAGTTTGCCAAAGCTACCTTAGCAAAGAGTACAGATTCATCCACATCTCCGTGAGACAGAGCCATCGTCCTCCTGAAAGCCTGAAAGGAAAGTTGAATTGGTGTGAGACGCTTCCCTGCAGCTACATCACCTCACGTTTACGTTTACTGAAACACCCACCTGCGCTGTGATGCGACCTGCCTCCTGCATGAGGGCCACCTCCGATGAGCTCTTCAGAGCCCTGAGTGAGTGAATGAGGGGACTGAGGGGCCGTGGCACTGGCCCCGCCTCCAGGACGGGACTGACATGTGCCTGGTGGAGCCGAGGGTTGGATGGATGAGAATGATCATACCACAACGTAGAGCCTGGTGGAAGATGGCAGTAGAAAGGAAAGGATAGAGTTCAGCGCTTCTTTAAACGCCTTCAGCAGCTCGGTTAAAAGCAGAGGTAGATAATACAATAGCTCCAGATGGCTTTGGTCCAGAGCTCCCCCTACAAGTGGGAAGTGTACTTTTACCCCACTGTGGTGGGCGAACAAAATATTTTGCTTCTATGATTCTATCGAATCACAAAAGACAGGGAAACTTTTGCAACTAGCTTTCATTTGTTGCAGAGGGTCGGTAACAAGTGAAAACTCGCTGCGGAACGACGCATGCCGCCCGACATGACTCAACAGCATCGTCCGTGGCTGGCTTGACAGTAGATGTCAGCAATTCTCAATAATGTAAAACACAGAACAGTCCGTGAGGTTAGCTCTGAGGCTTGAGCTAACAACTTGAAGCGACACTTCAGGCACTTCCAGCCATACAGAATGCTAAATTCCATTCATCATTGGCTTGAAAGAGAATTCAAGGGGATGTCTCTGCAACATGACATTCAGCCCACCTTTGAGGCTTTTGAGCACCACACCAAGTTCTTCTGTGCTATGAACCCTCTCGATGCCAGTCAAAGCAGCAGCTCCGTCCTTCCCCGATCGTGGTCCATCCCACAGCTCCCTGCCTGGGTCTCTGCGAGGAACAAACAAGATGGCCTGGTCCGGTCGCCCTTTCCCATGCAGAACCAGCGCGCTGTCAGGCTCCAAGATGCCACACAGGTAGAGGAAGTCCTGGGCAAAGTTTTGCAAGGGCACGATTGGCAAAAGTAAAAATTTGAATCTCAAAAACAAAAGCGTTGCGTATATATTTTGGGTCAGTCTATCTTTAAAAGTCTCATATTTGAATATGGATGCCATGGATCCTGACATGGAGCCTCTGAAGTCAAAGGTGCCAGATACCAGAACGGTTGGGAAATATACCAGCAAAAGCGCATCTTTATCATTGCACAAATCTTTGACTAAAGTCGTGTGTGACATCATGTCGGCATATCGTACCAGACCTCTGTCACAAGACCTGTTCAGAAACCATCATTTAAGAGGTTCCACTGGACATCACAATGAATGCAAGCTCACTTGGTTCTGGTGGAAAGGATAAGGGATGTCATTAGTCATGTAGCGGGTCGGATGGGACAAAACGATGAGCACATGAGTGCCGGATGAGGCAAACGGTCCGAGCTTGTCCGACTTGGCCTCGATAAGTGAAGCCAGTCTGTGGCGACGCAGTTCATATTCTGTTTGGCTCAGGCCAGGCGTCACCTCACCTGAGAATCAAATAGCACAGTTGACTGACAGAAGCCAGGAAACAGAAGAAAAAGCACACCTCTGTTGCTAGATCATTCTCGTTTTCTAAGATTCAAATGTTGCCCTGATCATCTCAGATGTTTCAAATCAGTATGCGCTTATTCCAAGTGACTGGAGGGATGCCATTTATTTACTGGTTAGGCAAAAAGACCAGACAATTTAAAATATTCCAAGCTATTATGTTGATCAATGTCAGAATTTTTATTACCTATGCAACTCAATGCACTGCTGTTCGAAGGGAAATGTGAATCTAGCATATTAGATAGTAAAAATGCTATATAGCCTCCTCCTACATTTGCTGTTGTTTTTTTCTTTAAATAAAAATACTACTGGACATGTGACATATTTGTATGTAATGATAAACGAGTACAACATTAATGATACCATGTTTGATGAGGTGTGGATGAGTAAAAGGGCTTGGTTGGCCAAGGTAGCGAGCAGGAACCGTCTTTGGTTTCAGATCTCCCGGTTTCACAGAAATGTTCCTGCATGGACACCACAAATATCCTACGAAGAAGAACACAACACCATCAGTTTTACTTATAATATAAATACCAATGTTCAGGCCAATCAAGGCTTGGTTAAACACAGTTGTGACCGAGGCACACATCTCACTGACAAACAAAAAAGATATAACAGGGGTCTTCACCCTTTTGGAAACTGAGAGCTAATTCTTGGGTGCGTGAAGGGCCACCAGTTTTGTTTTGCAAGCTTCATGTTCCGTGGGCTACCTTTCAAAATTCGCTTTTAGTGTATTGGAGAGGGGGGAAAAAAAGTTAAGCTCACCTCGGCTCCAGCTTGTTCTTGGTAGTAGTGTGACAGCAGCCCTGAGCACACTGCCTCCCGAGGACATCATCGTCGCTGACACTGGTCACGGACACATGCCGTTTTCTACAGTGCTGAGGAACAGAGAAGTTGTCAAACATAGAATATTTATTGCCAACAGCCAACAACCTGACAAAGTCGAAGCGTACTACAGAACTCAAGTACAATTCAAAAGATGTCACTTGACAGCTTCCTTACTAGCCGGGTTGCTAACAGCATTGGTATACGTTTCATTATTATACCCTGACTTTTGCCTTATGGATGCTAAAACCAGCATGCATTGCTACGATTGGTCGATTCTCTTCTTACGTCATCACCCTGCAACACATTTCGTTTCATGCTTCATGACAAATATTACTGCGCTCGAGTCTTCGCTGTAATGCCTGTAAGACAAATACCAGGGCAAATGTGGTTGTCTTATTTAGTGCCTGAATGAAAAGACAGGAACGAAGCCTGCTCCAAAGAAGCAGATTCGCGACGTTAAATATCGACTTCTACCTTCAGCTTTCTCACCTTTTGTGTTGAATCTACGAGCCCTTGCACAGGTGCGTTTCTTTTTTATTATTAGTAAACTCAACGCTTTAACGTACAATCTTGTTTTTCTTTCAACTCTGGTAAATATTGCAGTATGCTAACATTTCCGACGGGATCGTGCGTCAAATGTGGTTCATGTCTCTCGAAACTTCTGTTTTGTTCTACTGTCGTTATCGGTGTCTCGCGACACAAACGGCTTCGTTTTTTTGAGTTAATGTGATCATTTGGAATCATTTCTCACAAAATGCGTGCGGACATAAATAAATAAGCATGCGTCTCGTTCATGCGCGTTAGCATGTAACTGCTAAGCTATGTAACGGTAAACGGGCATGGTGCTTAAACTTGGTGAACTTCTGAGTGGTTTGTTTTTATGATGCCACGCAGTGCGTGTTGGACGTGACAGAGAAGCATGGACTCTCGAAAAGTGGCAGAGTTGAAGGGCTTCGTGCAACTATGCGAGTCCAATCCCGCCGTCCTGCAACTTCCCGAGATGGCTTTCTTCCGGACCTGGTTGCAGAGGTCTGTTGCGCCCCATAAAAGCTGAGAAGTGACTGCAGTTTGTGTCCGTGGGTGTTCTGAGTCGTAGATGCTGTGCTTTTATTTTGATATGTTGGTCAGTCAATATGTTGCTAACATAAAAAAAGTATATACCCTCCCATCCAAAAAGAAAAGACTTGACCACGTGCTTGTCAGGTCCAGGCAACTTGAAAAACTAGTTAAACCAGCATGAGTTTGTTGAAAAATATTGAGTCTTTTCAAAGGCAATTATGTATCATTTTAAGTGAAGGGACTTGCACTACTGAGCAGACCTGGCAAAATTCACAGCAGGGATTTGAGCCACGAATTGACCAATACATGCCATTGTTCAATTGGAAGTATTACTTGAACAGCCCTCTTCAACACATTAAATGTGAACAGCATGATGCATGTCTTGGACAGAGTCACAGAAAGGGATTGAAGAGGTCATTCTTGGAAATGTTCATGGATTAAAAACGATTGAATTCTGCTGTTCCGCAGGCACGTTGTGCAAAAAGTACTGGAACAAACAACTCTTTTAGCATCTTATGAACAATCTGTAAAAGGTTACCACATATTGTGTGTAATTTAGATGCACAGTTCGGAACAACTTTAATGGGGAAATTGTTTTGTGGACAATGACGTTTTGCATTTAATTTCATCTGGCTCACAAGAATGTTGTCCACTCTGCAGCATGGGTGCAAAGATACCTTCCCAATCCTCCCCCAAAGGTCATTGCCAGGTAATGCATTCATTGTTTTAATTTGATCACTTGCCCACCTGTTCATAGTAGATTTTGATACTTTTTATTTGGTTTCTGAACAAGATAGATGTATATCAGTCGACAAGTACTACTACCATCACTTGCGACGATCAAGCATATAAGCAACATAGCAATAATCCATAGCAAGATTGATTTTGTCTAATCTAAAGGTTTTATGTAAAAAATAAAAATGAGATTATTTAATGGAGGTTTATTTGGGTTCATAATTGTAGGGCGAGTGTCCTTGTGGTCCGCCTCCGACATCGACAGCTTCCCCAACTGAGCCTGAGCCTCCCATGCCATCTGAGAGCGAGGAGAGTGAACTTGGTAATTATTTGACCAGCATGATCTGGATTCCTCTTTTTTTTTTTTTTTTTAATTTGGTAGCTACCTTGTTATGTTATTCATCCATCATGAGCCTTCTCATTTTGATGCTTGAAGGACTACGATATAGTTCGACATGCTGCACGTCTGATGTAATATTAACTCTCGTGCAATACTTCACTTCATAAGAAATGTCCCTTGAAAAGAAACACAGTGCAGTTCCGCATTCTGCTTTTTCAGAAATAGATCTTGAGGGTGTCATTGAACCAGACACGGACGAGCCACAGGAAATGGGAGATCCGGATAATGTTGAGGTGAAATGTACTCCTGGGCAAATATGCAAACAAACTTGCATTTCAGTTATGAAAATGAAGTGTGTGCGCGCCTTCACTCAGGTGACGGAAGAGATGATGGACATGGCCAATGACAAGAAGATGGAAGCCATTGATGCTCTTGGAGAAGGTTCGTCGACATTAATTTGGGTCCACTGCACTTTCAAAATGCCAAACAAAATGGCAGACCCACGACAGAGTTGGAGGGGAAGACATTTTGCACACAGCCACAGTGTTTACACTCGCCGCTAATGAAGGCAGGAGGAATGGAGCATTGCTATTGTGCCTCGGCACAGTTCTACGCTCCTGAAAGGCCGTTTCCCGTCCGTCTCTTGTAGGAGACCTCCAGAAAGCTCTGGATCTTTTCACCGAAGCCATCAAGCTGAACCCCTGTGTGGCCATCATGTATGCAAAGAGGGCAAGGTGAGAATTCTTGCATTCCAAGATTCAAGTCGTTCCCCGGGGACAATTTGAGATGCTACTCGTGTCCTATCTTCTTTGTTAGTGTTTATATTAAGATGCTGAAACCCAACGCAGCCATCAGAGACTGTGACCGAGCCATCAAGATCAACCCGGACTCGGCGCAGCCTTACAAGTGGAGGGGAAAAGCTCACAAGTACCTTTTTTTTTTCCGACAATAATGTTCAGTTATAATTGACATCGTGGTTTCAGTTCGTGATGGTGTCACTCTGCACTTCAGTTGGTTCAAAGAGCCAAAAATGCAGCAGCACTGCAGTCCTAAATTCTTTTGATCTGCCCTTTCAAAATCAGTGTGCACAAGGTGGAGAAGGATTTGCAATATTCGTTGTATTCGTTTCAGGCTGCTTGGCCATTGGGAGGAGGCCGCCCGGGATCTGGCCACAACATGTAGACTGGATTATGATGAGGATGCTGACGCACTGCTTAAGGAGGTTCAACCGAAGGTCAGATAGAAGCATGTTCATATGACGGCGCTCAAAAAATGTGGTTTTCATGGACACTTAGTGGTTGGTTGGTGAAGTAAAAATATTTTACACTGAAAAGTACCATTTCTATTCCCATTTTGACGACTAACTTTCTCAGTATAGCAGCCGCGTCTTTATATAGTTCAAGCTCAGAACGGAGTTGCTGGCTGCAGCATCAATCTGCCGTTTGTGTTGGACCCTGTCTCTTTTCATCACAGGCTAACAGAATCATCGAGCACAGGCGCAAATATGAACGAAAGAGGGAAGAGAGGGAGATCAGGGAGAAACAAGAGCGTATCAAGAAAGCAAGGGAAGAGCACAGTCGGGCTCAGAAGGTGAGTTATTTGGTCAAGAAACTAAACACCTCCGTGAAGGTGATGTTTTGATACCTAGCAAAGTAGTAATAAAGTGTCTTTCACGTCCCTACAGGAAGAGGAAGCCAGAGGAGGGCCAGGAGCAGGAGGAGCAGGATTCTTCCCAGGTGGGAATGAAAAATGTAGCTGTTGCGCTTTTTTGAAACTATAATTCTTCCACTTGGTTCTGAAACTGTTTGTATTATCAGCGCATTTCAAGTTGATGCACGTTTTCTGCGCTTTTTGAAAACTATAATTTTTCCACTTGGTTCTGAAAATGTATTATCAGCGCATTTCAAGTTGATGCACGTTTTATCAATGTACTGTAGCTCAACAAATGAAGTGTCGCTCTTGGTGATTCCTCCTGCGTACATACAACGCTCACCATGCATAAAGTGTTTGGGCGTTTGGCCTCCGGAGGAAATTTTAGGATGTGATTCCAAATGAGCGGCTTGACACAGGTGGTGCGGGATTCCCTGGTGGATTCCCCGGCGGATTCCCAGGCGGAGCCGGCATGCCCGGTCTCAATGACCTCCTGCAGGATCCCGAGCTGCTCACCGCCATGCAGGTGACTCACTGTTCACGAGGGCTGCTTGATACTAACATGATGACAGCCTTCAGTCTCGCTCGAATATTACAACAGTAGTGATCTAATTTCCCGACAGGACCCAGAGGTGATGGCTGCTTTACAGGATGTGGCTCAGAACCCAGTGAACATCACAAAGTACCAAAGCAACCCCAAGATCATGGCGCTCGTCACCAAGCTGAGCTCAAAGTTTGGGGGCGCTGCCCCTCAGCCGTAGACGGGGCCAGACCAGAGATGAGGCGAGGATTTTGTTCGCTGCAGCGATGTTTTTGAGGGCTTTTCAGTAAACCTATGATGCGCATATCAAACCTTTTCAGTTGGTCACTTAATCGGAGTGCTTGTTTTTTAGAGGAGCTGGGGGTGAGTTCAAATCAAAACTATTTAATCAGTACTAAAAGCAACCAGGGAGGTTTCTGAGACATATCCACATGACCTCTAACTTAGCTTGCAATTAACCACAAAGTTGATGTTTCTTGCATTTGCAATCTGAGAGCTCCTGCACTCGTTAAACACATTTTTACAGTCATTTAAACAACAGTGAGGGTTTGTTGGGATGTGGGAACCAAACCAATGGTGTGGTCATTAAGAAAAGAGGTAAGAAGTCTGACCTAGTTAGGAAAAATGGTTAATAAAGCTTGTTTCTAAAAGGCATGTGACATTGTTTCTTTCAAACAGCAAGTGCCCTCTGCAACCCCAAATCATCCTGAAGATCGTTTTACATAAATTCATTCAAATCGCCTTTAATAGTCATCACTTTATTTTTAACATTACTTTTAAGCATTCGAAAAAAGGTTTTACTTCCATCTGTTCTGTCATATTCCGGTTTATTTGAAACAAAAAAAAGTGGAGAAACAACCGATTACAATAAGGTGAAAGGGAAGAGATGCATTGTGGGTAAAACCTAAACAAAAACAGTCACGGAGGAAGTGGACGTCTCCAGCTAGTGTCCATACCTGTGGGGGAAAAAAGAGGACATTAAATTGATATTCCAAAACACTTAAGCAATGTGAAATTCTAAATCCCTAATTTACTCACTTCTGGAACTCCCACTCTCTGTTGTCGAGAGGGCACACCTGTCGAGTTTTGAGCCAGCGAGAAATACAGTGGAAGTGGAAGGCATGCTGGGGACGACAAAGACAAATGTACACATGAGCACTCAACGTTAGTGTCAGTGTCCTCATTAAGAACATCACCCAATGAGGATTAAATAGATTTTTCTGCAGATAGAAATTATTTGTTGCTTGCTAGTTGCTCAGAGAAGCTTTTAATGAGGCACAATGTGCACTTAAATGGCAAAACGACAAGTATTATAACCAGGTTTCTTCAGTCAAACTCACATTGCAGACACCCCAGGCTACTGTGCACTCTTCAGACGTGGCAGAAGCTTGGTTGGCCTGGCACTCTATACCTGATGGGGAAACAAGTCACACATTTATGCAAATTACATCTTTAAAGAAGTAGCTTTAAGAATGAAAGACTAGGTTAATGTTCCTGGGATATTTCTATCGCTTTTATTCACAATGTCATTGTGCATTTGTCTGATGATATTTGCATCTGCCATTAACATGTCAGACAGTTGTATGCTGCTTGGTTCTTAGATGAATTGTTTCAGATATTGATAGTGATACGTTCAAGTGGACATCCGAGGCAAAATGTAAGCTAATTATGTCACACTTTCACATCTGAACCTCAAAACAACTGCAGTGAGTATGTGTTACATGTGAACTTACAAAGATCCATGATGTGGTTTCGACATATAGCACAGTTATCCACAACAATGTCCCAGGCCCACAGTGCCACGGCATTCCACTAGTGGGGAAAATAAAATAACCGTTAGTAGAGCACAGCAAATTCAACACTCGATCAACATTTTATTAAGATTTAAAACAAATCGTAATCTAGATATAATTAACCTCCAAAATGTGTTGATTTCGCTCTTAGCAGACTGACGAATATATACGGATCGCACACGTGATGTCTCGTCTTTATGTCCACAAAAACCTGTAGTGAACAACTACAAGTTTATCGTAAACTATAAGAGAAAATTCACGTCGCTTGAAGCAAGCTAATCGCAAGCTAACTAAGCCGCAGTGCACTTAGCAACTTAACATGCTAATTGATGGCAACTAGCTAGCGTGTTGATCCATTGGGAAAGCAGTGGCGTTTATTCACGCTAAGTAATTCAACAACTCACGAAACCATACCTTCTTGACTTCAAATCGCTTCTTGCTTGCTCCGCTACTGGAGCAGCTAGGTGCGTCTACGTCCATCGCCGCTGCCATCTTGAATTTGACAAAATATTGGTGAACGTGATTCAGCTCGAGGCTACTTCCGGTGCAGTACAATTCCGAAAGGAATGAACAGCACACGTTTTGAAACGTCAGTAATTGTTACAAAGCAGCAATTGTCATATAGTACGTGTTCATTGTTTTGAACTTCTTACGGAGGCTTGATTTGAAAAGGTATTTAAAAAAAACTCGGTTTTTGTGTGGTTCTACTCAGTCAATTATTTTTTTCAATGACGTTCCAACTAATCGCATAAAGTAACAAATATTTATGAGCCGAAACATGCCAAACGTAAGTTAGGAGTGGGAAGAAAAATTCAGGTTCCACCGAGATTTGAACTCGGATCGCTGGATTCAGAGTCCAGAGTGCTAACCATTACACCATGGAACAATGCAGCCTGAGCCGCTTATTGATAATTATAACGTTGTATTAGCGTTTACGCAGAAACCAGAGTTATTTGCTTTTGTTTAACTGGCTGGCATATTGTCAAGGAAATATGTTGAAGTGAGTTGGGGAGTTTCACTTGGGCATATTTAGGCATTATGGCTCTCTGAGGGAAACCATCTGGCCTGCAACAAAAAAGTCTGACATCCCTGTGTTTTGCATTTATTTACTCCAGAAGCAAACAGTGCATTGCATACAGTCGGTATTTGTTATGATAAACATTTTAGACAGTGTCACTAATGAACCAATTGCAAAAAAAAAAAAAAAAAAATCTAGCCCATCTGATTATATGTTTTATGTTTTTATGACTTTCTTCTTTTTGGTCACCGTTGGTACAACTAGTTTCCTTTGAGGCTTTTTCTTTATTGGCTTTGGTCGTTTTGTGCTGTTTCTTCCCGGGTTGGTCTTGACTCCAGAAGCTTTCACCAGGTTGAGTTTGGGTTCCTTGGCTTTTACATGAGCACGGGCCGCAACAACCACAAGCTTTCTGCCTGAGTTGGAGGTGTTTTCCGGACAGGACTTGAATAACTCCAGATCCCTGACTTTCTGCCCCTTAAGCTTAGAAGGGAGGCCACAGGTAGCGGCCACCTCCAAACTCACTTTCTCCATCCACCTGGTGCACAAATCAAGAATCAGCATCAAAGTAAATTATCTATCACATAAATTAAAACAGAAATTGAATTGAGCATCTTATGTTATATTGTCCTCAAGTAATCTGACATAGTGTTTCTGCAAATTGATTACAAACCCATTATTCTGAGAAGAAGTGTTCACTGACCTGCGCAGCGGCAGCAAAGTACAGTCACACAGCAGAGGATTGTCTTGAACGTCAAACACCTCCAAGCCCGTGAGAGAGCCCAAGTCAGGAAGCGCCTTGAGCTGGTTTCCTCTCAACGTAAGAGCCTTCAGTCCTGGACCAAGCCCGGCCAGAGCGTCCCGAGACATCTGCACATCAGTGTCATAAGGGAATAGTTAAGGTCATTTAATTGAATCATACAATAATGTGCAGTTGCTCTAGGCCACAATTAGATTGGTCCAAAACAGCGGAGTTTACATTTAGGTACTGGTATACAGTTTTTAACATAAACAAGAGTTTTATGAAGTTACAATTAGTGTTCACATTTTCACATCAATTCATTTTCTTGAGTGTATTTTATTAAATATACCACTATATAAGAACTGTCTTGAGCACATTTGTCCACTTTAGTGCTTATCTAGCGCAATTCCGAGTTACTTTGCCTATTACCACCACTTTAATGTGCAGTTAGCTAGCTAGCTATGCCTACACCCTGAAAATACATCTTCAATGGATGCCACAATTTACAAAACAGTTTGGTGTCATTATTACAAGTGACAAAAAAATGTAAAACAGCATAAACATTCTGTAGAAAATGCTCAAGCGTTATTCACTTTTTACCTTCTCGGTGCCCATCTGGTCCATGTACAGCCACTTCAGACTTTGAGATATTGGCCGGAATGCGTTTGGTCCCACTGAGAGAATCCGGTTTTGAGACAGGTTGAGTTCCTCCAGACTGGTGGCTTTGGATATCGCATCCGTCGGAATGTTTGTCAGCTTATTTGAATCCAGGTGAAGTTTACCAAGGAAGGCAGAGTCCAAAGCGCCCTTGGCAATTGTGTGTATGGTGTTATTGGTCAAGTAAAGCTCTCTTAGTTTTGGAGTTACAGCGGACAGCAGACCTGTGGGTTCCAATTTTAAAATGGCATTGCGTTCCAGGTGTAACGCAAACAGATTTGGTAAGAGTTGCAGAGCTGCAGGAGAATTGAACACACGTTAAATATCGTCATTCTTTGTTCATTGCACCATGTATGATTTTAATTCATTTGAGCCAATGTTTCTGGTCCACTGACCTGAACCAGGAAACTTTGCCAAACGATTCCCCTCCAGGTAAAGGTAGCTGAGCGCCGGCGCTCCAGTGAACGTTTCAGGGCCCAAGGACGTGAGGTCGTTGTCAGAAAGATACAGATAAAACAGGTTTTTCATTCCTCGGAAGGCGCCACCTTCGATCTCACGAATTTTGCAGAATTCCAAATGAAGGGAAACAACTTGGCCGGCGGTTGGAAAACTGTTGGGGGGAAGGTTGTGGAAGTGGTTACTACGAAGGTCCAGTAGTTGAGTTTTGGCAGGGAAGCCTCGCGGAATTTTGGTGTGACCTCGGTTCTCACACGTGGCATGCTGTGCTTCGATCTAAAAGGGGTTGAAAATGCTGTTGATTGATGAACCAATATTCATCATAATTGTTGAGTCTAATTGTCCACAGAACAATTTGAACTTACGTGACAGTCACAGTTCACCGGACACCTGACGTTTCGTTTGGGTTTGGCTGTCGGCGGGCTGCTGACAGCAATCGCTTCCTCCTCAAAGTCGTCCTTCAGCGGGTCCCCCCCGCTGCGGCAACGCATGTCCACGGCCGCCACGGCGCCGAGCGGCTCTTCGGACAGGTGAGGCGGTCCTGCGCAGGTTCCCAGCAGCTTGACACCGCCGACGCTCGCCCAGTTCCTTAGGGACCTCATGTAGCAGCTACAGTGGATGGGGTTGGCTTCAAGAAAAAAAAAAAAAAAAAGTCGTGCAAAATGAAACACTCCTTAACATTCGAATGTAAGAGCTCTGGTTACCAGTGAGGTTGAGGCTGGCAAGGTTTCTGGGGCCCGCGAGAGGCTCCAGGTAACGAAGCTGGTTGTGACTCAGGTCCAAGTGGGAGAGCAGAGGGGCTTCTGACAAAGCCTGATCTGACAGGTCCTGAAGAGACATGTGGCTGAGGTACAAGTGTGTGAGCTTTGCCATGGAGACGGACTCTTCGCCGAGGTAGATCATGCAGTTGTGGCTCATGTCCAGGTGCGTGACCTCCTTGAGTCTGCAGTGGAGGAGACAATCAACAAGAATGTCTAAATCAAACTAATAAGGCGATTTTGACCGTGGGAGGAGGAGAAAGTCCAGAATATCTGCTGCATCTCAAACGTAGGGTGTCACCAGGTCTCTGACAATTGCGGTCATGGCTATTTTAAAAGCTCCTACCTGGTCATCGCCTGA